GYMASCAWSCATGCTGCAGCAATTTAAATATTAGTTTTACATCTAACWAAAAGGAACAAGGCAKAGAAAATGTTCAACAYAAATAATTATGTTTTTKAATCATCAAAAGTTGTCTACAAATTAYTTTTTGAATTTTTTTTATTAAATAATAAATTTTATGTCTAAATATTAAGTAAGATTCGGATTTATATAAGAACAATGACTAAATAAAAGAACATAAGATCGGACGAATCAYATATGATTTGACATCAGAATCTTATGTAAAATCACATGTGATTCACACAACTTTAGTTGCAATCTACAGTAGCAGGCGAGATCGTCTATTCACCCTTGTGTTGCCGTATTCTGTAATCAATCTGAACAAAATCAAATATAGTTTAAACAATGTTTGTTTTTGTTTTAATTCGAAACTTTACTGAAAAATTATTAAAGTGGATAAATCATCATATATCGATATTATATTATTTTACTTTAAACATGTTTCAGAAAACTATTACTAGTTGTGAACTGATGAAACTTATAAATTTAAACAAAATTAATATCTATATTATATTATAAAGCATTTGATAAAAACTCTTAAAAATCATTTTTTGGGCATGACATAATGTTTGTTGATGCGTATTACTTGAAATTCAAGATTACAAGTAAATTGTGTACATGTATAACTTATTAAAATTTCATGTTTGAATTCGTGTAACTAACTGCAGATAAACATAATCAAACAGAGGATAAACATCTCATTTTAAATATAAAAAATTTAAAATATAATTAGGATAATCGTTGATATCTAACAAAATACTTAATAATTATCTTTATAAAAAAAATTATATTATTAAACAAAAAATAAAAAATAATATAAAGAAATCCATAAAAAAAAATTTAAATAATTAGTTTCGTACTAATATCAATATTTTTATGATATTTTCGTATTTATATTTTTTTCAAAACTTAAAAACATTATCGTTTTCTCAAAACCACATAAAACCGTATTATAACATCGATTGAAACAAAAAAAAATATTAAAATTAAGATGGATCTCGCTGAATTATGCGAATACCCTTCGAGTTATCATATGATTGAAATATGCACGACATGGAAACATGACAAAGTTCGTTAAGGAAGAAAACAGTAAGTAGGAAAGAAGCTTCCCCTCTAATGGCGTTTACATCGTCTTCCGGCCCTCCACTGTATACATGGATTCCTCTACAAATACTGCCCTCACTAAACCTTCTTCTTCATCCTGCCCTTCCTCTCCTCTCCCATTTCTACTCCAAACCCACATATCCAGATCACCATCAACTTCATCTAGACATGGCCAAGGTACAAATCTCTTCACTCCTTCAATTCCATTTTTATTCGAATCAGGTGGCTCTAATTTGTATAATTGATTGTTTTTGCAGCAAAATATTGTCGTGAAGGTGTCCATGAACAACGACAAGAAAACTCGTAAGGCTCTCAAGATCGTGGTTGGTGTCTCCGGTAAGACATTCGAAGCTCCTCTCCAGTTTGCCCTAATTTTTATATCACGGAGAAAGCGTTTGTTTGGTTGTAACTAAATCACAATCTGAAATGAATTGACAAACAGGGGTGGAATCAGTGGCTTTGTTTGGTTCAGATAAAGATCAAATCAAGGTCACGGGTGAAGGAATTGACTCGGTCGAACTGGCGATGCTGCTAAGGAAAGGTGTAGGATGCACAGAGCTGGTGAGTGTTGGTCAGGTGGAGGAGAAGAAACCCGCTACCACCACCACCACTGCTGCTGCCGCCAGTCAAACTCCAGCTACGGTGGTGCCGCTGCAAGTTTATCCTCACCATTATAGCTGCTATGGAGGGCCGTACTACCATTTCTAATGGAACGAAGATCCCTCTTGCACCATTAATTATGTAGGATTGTATCAACCGAGACAGAGTGAATTTAGAGAAATCAATACAGATTATAACAAGTTTGATCTAAACCTGCAAATAAAAGACAGCTCCTCCTGAAACATAGCTAGTTGTGTCTTCTGAGGTCATCTTGCTGTTATTTGAATCATCATCTTCAAGGTCACTTGGAATTAGCAGAGGTTTTATATTAAATCGCTATTTAAWTCGCTTCATTTCGTCCTTCCATCTGTTCTTCGACTGGGGAATCCTGCATTCATTCATGTACGAATTTTGACTTTTTTATAAATGGAAAGCTAATTCCAAACCCAACACTTCATTCTCATTTCCTTTTCTTTTTTGTCTTTTTACTGATTTTTTCTTTTTAATATGAATTTATTTTTAGTTATGTTATTTAATTATAAATAGATTACTATTAAAAATATTATTTTTTATATTTTAAATAAACTAATACT